CATCAGTGTCCTTCAACAGTATTAAGACCCAGGTAGTGAACCTGTTAGTGAGCCCGTCAGGGTCATCTTCAATTCCAGTCTCTTCACCAAGTGACATGAAAAGACAACAACAACTCACTTTTTCCCCTATAGGTTTGAGATTTCAGTCTCTCTCCCAGTTCCCCTTTGTTCTATTGTCAGGGCACCCTCCCCGCAGTCATTTCCCTCAAGTTCTGTCCAGGGTTGGGTCTAAGGATGGGCAAGCAGGATGCTCACACCTAACTTTTTTGGGTGGGAGGGGCTTAGCCACTTCAGGGGGACAGCTCAAAATGTTTTTCACCCTAGTTAACAAATGGCTAGGGCTGCTCCTATTCTACCTCTTTACAGACCCACCACTAAAGTTATTGCTAGCTCCTGCAGCTTATTCCTCTCTTCAGCAACTCCACCCAAAAGAAGAATTCTACCCAGCATCTCCCCTAGCCTAACAGATGCTCTTAGCCTCCTAGTCTGCTGAATTCCTTCTTTTATGGCAACCACCCAGCTCCTACCAGCTGGTTTTGATACCAAATTGAGCCTGACCCACCCTCTAGGTGCAACATGGTGAGCTAATTGGGCTCCCAGCCTCCTGTTAACTCTTTATTGGGTTGTATGATGTTTGTACACCCTATCACACCCTGACACAAAGACCATCCCCCCTGCCAAATATCAAGTCCCTGCTCCAAAATATGGGGACCCTTGAACTGTTCAAACAAAAGGTTGCCAATTTTTTTTATATGGACAAAACAATGTATTTTTCCTAGACTTGTTCTCACAAACAGCCAAACAGTTTTGCCTGAAATTAAGAAAGGGAAAAAAAATCAATCTGGGGCAGACACCTAGCATGGAAAATTTGAGCCCAAATGGTTAAAATTTGACAAAGTTATAAACAACTGAAAACAGGATCTGATAATGGGAAGTCTTAAATGGGTCCTATAATGGGCAACCGAATAATAGGTGGCACTATCAGTCCCATCTATAATCAGTTTTTTAAAAAAGCAGCCCACAGAATGCAGACACAATAGAAATTCCAAGACTTGCTGCAGACTTCTAGCAGAAACACTGTATTGAGGTATGTTGCCTAAGGCATAATTTCAGTGGAGCCAGAGTAAAGAATACACAGTGTAAAATCGCAAAAAGAAAAGGAGTACTTGTGGCACCTTAGAGACTAACCAATTTATTTGAGCATAAGCTTTCGTGAGCTACAGCTTGCTGTAGCCACAAGTACCACAAGTACTCCTTTTCTTTTTGCGAATACAAACTAACACGGCTGTTACTCTGAAACCAGTGTAAAATCAAGCTCAGAATGGGCAGTGCATAGTAAACTTGAACCAAATTAAGCTCTGTGCATATCCATTCAGAATACTGCTGCAGAGATCATTTTCCTAGCCTAGTGCTTTGAGCATGTCACCCTTCTCTGGCTCCCCCTTCTCCATTGCATAAAACATAAGCTACTTGTCTTCACTTTCAAGGCCCTTCACATCCTATCCGCACCCTATCTGTCATCTCTCTTTCACTACTGAGAGGTTGATTCCTTTCTCTAGTGAGCCTCCATGGCCCACTTGTTGAATTTTCAAATAAGCATGTTCATGCTGTCTCCCAGGCTGCTCCTCATGCTTTGGAGGAGCTCCCCATAAACATATGCCAAGCTACTTCATTTTTTTCCTTTGAATGCCTCCGTAAAACTCTCCTTTGCCCTGATGCCTACAAAAAGCTTTAGAGTGGTTTGGCTGCTGGCGTGCAGAGATCTATTATGCTGACCACTGTTGTCTCATTGTTTCCTTATGCTCCCAGATCAGTCTGTCTGTATCTATCTGTTGTCTCTTGTCTTCTACATAGACTGTAAACTCTTTGGAGCAGGGACTGTCTTTTTGTTCTGTGTTGTACAGCACCTATCACAGCAGAATCTGGGTCCACAACTGAGTCTATTAGGTGCTATGATAACAGTAATAATAATAGTAATAATCATAATAACAATATGGGGGCTCAACCTCAGTATGGTAGTGCATGGTGAATCTGAACCAGGATAATTTATCAAATTAAGCTGAAATGTTATCATTGTTATCAAACTGATGTAAGTGGATCTGGGAGTTTGCGCTGATTTAACTAAATGTGTTTAAAAATTATTTTAGTTGAACTGGTGCTGGTTCTCCCACTAGTATTCTACAGTGCCCTGGCAGCTTTACAAAATCTCCCAGAATGCACTGCTTCTGGAAGCTGAGCCAGGAATTGTGGGCGAGTTGCCCAGAAAGCATTGTAACTGAAGTTGTTTAGTACAGTTCTACTGTGAATGTGGAGAAAAACTCAAACTGGTTCAGTACAGTGGGTGTGGATGCACTGAAATATTTTTTCTTAAACTGGTTGTTACAAATGGTTCAATTCTGTGGCATAGATAACAGCATGGAAATAGTGATCTTAATATTCCACTTCCTGGGGCATGATCCACAGCTTAGGGAATGACATAGGCATGGGTAGTACACCTGAAGCAAAAGGCAGTTGCAACGTTATAAAAAAGGGAATAAATAACTTGAATGAACAACTGCCAGAGACAGGAATCTGGTTGCTTTCAGCAAGTCATAGTTTTCAATGTGCTTTTCTTCCACAAGTGTAGTTTGTGTGAATAATACAAAAGGAATCTCATTTATGTTTGTTTCCTCTGTTCAATAATGGAAGTAACCGATATTTTCTGAATAAGTTCCCTTCAAGACTCCAGTGCAACTGGTTATTGCTCTTTTCCAACAGCAATCCTCTATATGAGAGTATGTCAGGGAGTGAGATTGGGAGTGAGCAGGACTGAGAATGACTGTCTTCATCTTCACATATGAAGTCCAGAGAGTTCCTCAGCAGCATGGGAGCAGATTTTCTGACATCAGGAAAGCCAACATCAGGAGACTGTAAGCTCTTTGGGGTTTTGTTCTGTGTTTGTACAGCACCTAGCACAATGGGTTCCCTGTCCATGACTACAGTTCCTAGGAGCTACCACGATATAAATAAATAAATTAAATAATAGTGCATACATAAGTTGGCTGTGTTGGTTCAGTCATCTATGCCCTCTGTGTCTCAGCAGTTCCTGTGCACTGTAACTAAGTGGAGAATTTATCTTCGTAGCAGAAGTCTGTGAAAAGTTCTTTATAACTCTGAAGGCATTTTACACATTGTTGGGCACTATACCAGGCACCTGATGCACCAGTCTGTCCAGGGAGAAGATCCACAGGGAAAAGTAACATATGTAATACTAGTAATCAGGAATGCATCTGATGAAGTGAGCTGTAGCTCACGAAAGCTTATGCTCAAATAAATTGGTTAGTCTCTAAGGTGCCACAAGTCTTCCTTTTCTTTGTAGTAATCAGACAAAGACCTTTTGCATGATAATTTGTCATGTATATTACAATATGTTAATGTGCGTGGCAGCTCTACTGTATTTATTGGCACGTCTACTCTGTACTGTATTTAGTTCTATTCCAGCGATACTGAGACCTCAGTGGTTCAGGAGCCAAATTAGTGATCAACATTACCCAAAAGAGCTACAGTACTGTGAATTCATTGTTTCATTTATGGTAGGACTATTCATATTTAAACAGTATGATGGGGATAAGTGCAAAGCACCAGCACCACCCAGTGACTTCATTAGCAATTGAAGGTGTTCTACACTTCTCTGGGGGAACTCATCACCACACAGGATCAGTCCCTTAATTAACAATACAGAATCAATATGTGATTTATTTTAAAATACCCATAGTAAATAGTAAGTAGCTCAAGATGCCCAAGGCTGGAAATTAACGAGAAAGTAGATCTCAACTGACAAAGCATTGTTTGGAGTAAGGCGTGCAAATACCACTGTTTATTGACACCTGGAAAAGCGCTACCAAGCTTTCTCAATCATCTGTCCTGACGTTAGAATGAGAGGGACTGCTGTTCCCCTGGTTCAAACAAAGGGCATGATTCTTTGCTGCACTGCATCTAGCGCCAACATTTATATCAGTGCAAAATTAGTGCAAAATTTGTGTAAAAAAACTCTACCATTTTGCTTTCGTAGCATTTTACACTCACTTTGAACAGGTGTAAGTGAATACACAACATGCAGCGCAAAGGAGAATAAGGTCTGCACTAGACAGCTGTACTGCTTTGACCATATAGGTATAGTTAAAGGGATACTACCTCCCCTCCGCACCCTCCACACTCTTTTATATTATTATAAGTGCATCCACACTAGATCTTGTATTGGTTAAAAAAAAATCACATCCCTAGCCAATGTAGTTATACAAGTGTTTTTCAAAAGATTTGCTCTAGGAATTATTTTGGGGAAGTTCTACAACTTGTGTTATACAGGATGTCAGACTAAATGATCACAGTGATCCCTTCTGCCTTGGAATCCATAGGTGTAGACCAGGCCTCAGGCCCAAATGCATTTCAGTCAAATTTGGAGAATGGTCTAAAGGAATAACAAATCAGTCTTGTCAAAATGTTTTACTATTTGATGTCTGCTTTTTTATCAGGTCACCCTTCTAGGAAAATAATCCAACTTAATTTTTTCATTCAGGCTGGAGTTTTTTCCTTTCAACCCAGATTCAGTTGCATTGCAAAAACATCAGAACATATTCACGGAGGTCATTATTTTATATACAACATTCATATTTTTATTTGAAAGTCAAAGTAGTTCACATTATCAAAACTCCTCTGAAAAAAAAAAAGCAAAGTGTTCGGAAGAGAGGAAGCAACCCCAAGCCCTTTTTATTACATGAGATAGGTGGGTGGGGGAAAGCTTACATTTTTTATGAGTTTGAACACATAACAATTTAGCAGGACAGTACAATGTAGATTACGTGCATTCTATTAAACCAAGGACTTGAATGCAATTTATGAAAATATGGTCAAGGATTGTAAACCATAACACCAATGCCAACGGACATCCATTGCTAATTGATCATTGATAGGAATTATGCCCCTAACAAATGAATAACTGCTCTAGAGCAGTTGTTGAATGCCCTCTGTTGATATATCACACTCTTGCTATTATGGGTTTCATGAAATTCAGCATCATCATGAAACTGCAGCGAATTTTCACTATTATTATTGCTTTTAAATCCTCATCACAGATTGTCATTTATTTCATTTTGACACAGTTATTACTTCATAAAAGTAATCACTGACAGTTACATTTATACTTAGTTGTAAGATTTGGAGGGGTACATTTACCCGATGATACCAAACATAAAGGACCTGATCCAGAACTCACTGAAGTCATATGGAAAGCTTCCTATTGACTTCAGTGGGCTTTGGATTCAGCCCAAAGAGCCAAATTCTGCTCACACTTACACCTGTGCATCCTCATTGAAGTCAATGGGTTTGCATGGGTTTGTCTGAGAGTAGAATTTGGCCCAATGTATTTCTATCATTTCCCACTCTCTCTCTTAGTTATAGGCTGTACTTTTATATAATTATGTAGGGGTCTACCATATTCACATCTCCATTAAACTCAGACTCCATCTTCTCAATCTATTTTTTTTCCCAGTATTTTTTTCCTTTTGCCACATGACGATGATTGGGAACCTGTCCTCTGTAGCCTATAAAAGTGATGTTTGTTTATATTACATAAAATATAATTGAAATGTGCTAAAAATGTAAGTGGAGAATACATTTTGGGGCCAAAGTTTAGGCTTGACAATAGCGAGGGTGTGGTAAATTGTGGGTGAAGTGAAGAAAGACAATTCATAGCCAAGTTAGAGATAACTTAGGACATAACCCCAGGCCATGTTGTAAATGTGTTTGGCTCTAACAAGAGTTTTGGATGTAATGTAATTCTTGTGGAAGGATGCTATCTATACTGACAGTTATTGGATTGGCATTTACGCAGTTGTTAAAGATAATGTTTAATATTAAATAGCCAATATAGCGGAAATATAGATATGGTAAAAGATAGGCTTAATGCTAATTAATCAAGGATGTTATTGTAAATTATTTTAAAAAGGATAACACATTAATTTTAGATTAGCATGCTCATTCATTATCAAGGTACTATTAGTAAAAGGATTATTTACCCATTCTTCTCATTCAGGGAATGGTCACCCCGGTGCACCATTTCATTTTGGAATGTGAGTATAAAAATGCAGTGTATGGTTATATCATAATTCCTGTTTGCTTTAACCATCTATTCTATTTTCAATTTCTATTTTAAATGAAGTCTTTAATTCTATCACTTGTGGTGTCATTCACAGTCTTTGACTAAACTAAAGTTATCTGTAACCACCCCAGAGCCTCAAACCTAAAGAATTTAATTTGGTTATTGGTATTATTATTTATACTGAAAATACTAATTGAAAATACTTACACCTCCGAGGGCTAACAGCTGGACCACTTCAGAGGTCTGAGTGCAGTTGCCAAAACATCAAAGTAAATTCTGACAGCTGAGATGAGGCCTTTCAGCTCAAAGCAATAAAAGCTCTTTCAGCTCAGTTTTAGTGGTTAGCATAAGTGAAAATTTTCAGAGTGGCCCTGGGCACAGACCCTTCAGGAGAATAACTGTTACTATGGATCAATATGCAAACCATGTAAACTCATCAGGACAACTACAATACTATGGTAGGGCCTGATCCTGAGAGGTACTGGATGTCACAACCAGGTCAAACCTAGAAGTTGGAGCAAGAGTCAGCTGGGTCAGGATACTAGAAGGTCAGAAGCAGAAGACAAACTGGGGATCAGAACCACAAGTCAGGAACCAGAGTCAAGATCGGTCAGGATACCAAGGAGGTCAGAGGCAGGAAACAAACTGGAGTTCCAGAACCACAAGTCAGATGCCAAGAAATCAAGGACATGGAGTCACAAGATACACAGTCCCAAGCAGAGTGGAGCCCAGTTGTTCAGACAACTTACTGTTCCTACTGCAGTCCTAAGTAGGGCCAATGGGCCAATCAGCTGCTTCGGGGCTATGCCAAATGGACCTCAGGGCAGAGCCTAACCCTGGGGCTGGGCTTCATGGGTCCCAGGTAAGCCATTGGCAGCAGACTGCCAAGTGGCGGGTTGGAGTGTGGTTGTTCCTATGGCCTTTGAAAACCTGGGTTTGAGCCCTATGGGTTCATTGATGTCAATGAGATGCTTGTGGATTTGGGTTAATGGAAGTTATAGCTGCTCAACATCTCTAAGGATCAGGTATATAAAATCAACTCCTATGCCAGTTATCACAATGCACTATATATCATATCCAGCCAACGTGAAATATCAGACTCAAAGATGGTGGCCTCTGATGCATGGGTGTAAAGAGAAATTCACTACATACAATGAGCCATAGCCCTCAGTGCACCCATGATCAACCATTGTATACCATACAACCACTAACACAGCAGATGTGTTAAGACACTGAAATATGAAGCCTGCCCAAGCACCCTCAGAAATGTTGCTGCTAGAATTAAAAGTCGTGCACTGTGACACATGTGATATACAACTCGCTAGCTACATGTCTCAGGTTAATGACGATGGATTTTTGTTTATGGCACCAAAGTACCTTAGCTAGAGAAAGTCCCAAGCCAACTTGGAACCAAACTTCAGGGTTGTTCGGTTTGGGCCCAACTCTGATGATAGCTCTTGATGGAAAAATTGTCACATTGTAAATCAGGCTATATACAGTTTTCATCCGATACATTATACATCTTCAATTCTGATTTATACTATTTCTAATTCTTCATATTCCCTTTCTAATTCTTCATATTCACTTTTTAATACAGCACTCATTATTGTAGATATTCTTGATTCCTGGAAAGCAGTTCATTCAGATCGGTAGTCGTTTTTGTTCTGGAAGGCAATCTTGGCTTGCCCGATTTATGATTTTTTTCCTCCAAGAGCTGCTGCTACAATTAAGCCAACCACGAGCACAAACATACCAACAGAAAGCAGTACTGTGATCACTATCATTCCTCCGGCCCGCCCTAAGAATGATCCATCATATGCCGTGAAGCTTGTCACTAAAATGTAAAAAGACAAAATATTTAGAGTTAAAGCCATCGGGGTAGATTTTCAAACCCATGTTTCCCTTTTGCACCATGGTGTGAGGGTGTAAGTAGTACTATTTAGTAGAACTATCATCGCAGTTAACAAAACAATGTAAAACTTTAGAGCCTACAAGTCCCCTCAGTCCTACTTCTTGTTCAGCCAATCACTAAGACAAACATGTTTGTTTACATTTACGGGAGATAATGCTGCCTGCTTCTTATTTACATCACCTGAAAGTGAGAACAGGTATTTGCATGGCACTGTTGTAGCCAGTGTTGCAAGGTATTTACGTGCCAGATATGCTAAACATTCATATGATCCTTCATGCTTTGATTTGTAGGCTCTAAAGTTTTACATTGTTTTGTTTTGTTTCTGAATGCAGTTACGTAAAAAAAAAAATTCTACATTTGAAAGTAGAGACATTCACGACAAAGAGATTGCACTACGGTACTTGTATGAGACGAATTGAAAAATTCTATTTCTTTTGTTTATCTTTTTTACAGTGCAAATATATGTAATAAAAAATAATATAAAGTGAGCACTGTACACTTTTTGTATTGTGTTGTAATTGAAATCAGTATATTTGAAAATGTTGGAAAACATCCAAAAATATTTATACTAAATTTAAATTGGTATTCTGTTATCGTTTAACAGTGCGATTAAAACTGTGATTAATCACGACTTTTTTTAAATCTCATAATTAATTGCAATTATTTTTTAATCGTTTGACAGCCCTACTATTTAGACATCTAAGCATGTGGTTTTTATTTGCATTCAGATACTCAGGCCTTGTTTACACACGAACTAGCAGTTTGTCTAAAGGTATATGTACACTACAATCAGAGATGTGATTGCAGGACAGTCTGACATACTGACATTAGCTTTAATCTAGGTAGTGCAGCTCAAGGTAGCAGTGAAGAGGTGAAGGCACAGAGTTCAGCAAAGGCTAGCAATGCAAGTATGTGCCCAGAGTACCTGGCATGCCTGCACTGCCATGCTGCCACATCTTCAGTGCTATTTTTGGCCGTACTAGCCACATCTAAGCTAGCACAGATATGCCAGCGCATGCTGCAATTTCACCTCTGATTTCAGTGTAGTCATATCCTAAACATCTGTTTTTTTAAGATCAATAATTAAACTGGTGCAGTCTCCAGGTGGAATCTCTCAAATAAATTTTAAAATGGCTTATGTCAATTCAGCTTAATTCAGCAAGGAATCCATTTATGTTAATTCAATATAAGTCAGGTATAAATAAATTTAAGAGTGTCCAAGCTGAGCTTTTGCACTGGTTTAACTAAATCAGTTTTTATACCAGATTAGTTAAATCCATACAACTTTGTGTGAAGACAAGGCATTAGATGTCTAACCTAGTGCAGGAAGTTGTTGTTTACTTATTTTGAAATCTCAAACAGATTAATTATTTGTTATTAGTATTATTTAACCCCTATATTGTAGTGATGAATCAGGCTAAATGAAACCAGGGGCCTGCTTCGCGCGTGCCTTCCACCTTTTTGTAGCCCTTTACACCTGTGTAAATTAACTGATTAACTGCAAAGTGGATATAAAATACTTCTGGTATAAATGATAATCCAGTCCCAAGTTTCTGCACAGTTCTATGAACTGGATAGAGAAAGGCTAGTATTAAAATACCTTTAGCAGAACAGCTTATTATCCTGTAACAGGGTGATTTTATGACTCCGAATGACAGGAGCTTAAGGAGAATAACTGAAGTGACTTTTTCACTACGTTAGAGACTCACCATTGTTTGTTTGTATGGCATCTGACCAGCCTGTATGAGCTCTGATTACAGCATTTTCATCCAGAATAAAGAAATTCACCCTTAAATAAACATGGAAAAAAAATAAACATTAAACATTCTCCTTAGCAGGATCATACAAAATGCCACTGTATGTCTAGTTCAGTTTTTAGCTCTGGATGGTTTTTAACCTTAGGATAATATTGTCCACCAGAAACAATGGCAAACATTTTTTTATGATGGAAAATTGCTGTCACAGCCTGTTCTGTGTTCCTAAAGAAGGACCTTCTGACTCCCATCCCACCATTACTTGAAATGGTTCCTTACTAAGATGGACCCATGTCCAAAATGGTGAGTTGGCATTCAGCTCTAAAGCTCACCCGTATTAGGCGGGAGGGGTTTTGGACCTAGTGATTTGGTTTGGGTCTGTCACTGTTTCTTACTCACCTAAGAAACTATCCTCATTTTTCAAAACTCTGCATGGATTTGCTCCTCCCTTCCTCTTTGACTTCATATCCACTCATACTCTTCTATCTCCACATTTCATTCTTAATTCATCCATGTAAATGGAATTCTTTCTTTACTCTCTCTGAGTCACTTTATGGGCCTGATTCAAAGCCCAATGAAATCACTGGAAAGACTTCCTTTGAACTTGGTAAGCTTTAGACCAGACCCTTGTTCTCTACCTATAACTTTTCTTTTTGTCTGAGTTTACAGTTATGAACTATCACTTATGGTATCTGGTAATAAGGAAGCTTTCTAAAGATAATGCATTACATTAGATAGAGCATTTTGATTTTCAGAAGGTGTAATGAGAAAAATTAGAAAAACAGTGCATGCATCCATTGCATCTTCACAAGCTGGCATTGTACACTCAGATGCCCATATGTGCTTGCAAAATGGGATTCTGCCTCCTCGATTCTTACGGCTTTTGTCCGTCAAACTTTTGTCAGTCAGGGGTGTGAAAAAACCTCTGACCGACAAAAGTTTTACTGAGAAAAACGCCAATATGGACAGCACTTTGTTGGCGGGAGATGCTTTCTCGCCGACATAGTTACCGCCCCTCATTGGGGGTGGTTTTATTTTGTCAGCAGGAGAGCTTTCTCCTACCATCAAAGAGTGGCTACACTGCGTACCTTATAGTAGAAATAGCCTTAGGTGCCCTAGCCTCAGCATAAGTTAGAATAGGTATAGGGCTGATGTAATTTGTAACAGTTGGCTATGAACTCTAAGGCTTATCTATAGAGTGTGGCAATGTGAACTAGAGGGGTGTGATTTCTAAAGTGCAACAATGTGTTGTGCACTAACTGGCCTGTGTAGACCATGCTGATGTGCACTAAATGCTCCTCAGTGCACATTATCGTAGATCTGTTTCAAAGAGCACTCAAGTAACGTGCACAAGTGAACTTAGTTAACCCCAGCAAAGTCTACATGGGCCAATTAGTGCACAACGCCTTGGTGCACTTTAGAAATCACACCCCTCTAGTGTGCACTGTTGCAATGTGTAGACAAGCTGTAAGGAACCGTACCCAGCTGTGAATTGGAAGAGCCCTTTCAATTTCCCAGCACACCTTCTAGTCTGTAGTGGGGGTTGGTTGGCATGGGAGCCAGGTCTGCCAGCTTTACTCAAAATCTCAAAATTTTTGCAAACTGGATATCGGGTGGGGAGGGGGATTTGTTTGGGGCAATCAGAATGTTTTGTTTCAATCATTTTGAAATGTTTCTTTTTGATTTTGACCTTTTTAATATTTTAAAATGTACTATGATTAGCTTAAATTTAGAAACAAAATGTGGTTTCAAACCAGAAAACTGACAATTTTTTGCTTAGAAAAATGTCAAAAAAGGACGTTTTAACAATTTCAAAACTTTTTTCAACATTTTTTCAAGTTCAGAAATTTGTCAGAACTGATCCTTTCCCACGAAAAGTTTCAGTTTTGACAAGTCAGCAGTTTTCAATGAAAAAACTATTTTGTCAGCAAATTCCTAACCAGCTCTAGTCTCAACCCAGCAGCTCTAGCCAGATTCTGGATACTTTGCAAAGGGGCTGGAACCAGAGGAGAGAATTTGTCCTGTGTACATAAGAGCCCATTTCTGAATGCATATGTATGTTTTTTAAGAGAGCTCTCATGTTGCCTTCCCCAGAATATCTCAGTCCTAAGGTAGTTGTGGAGCCTGAAAGGTTCATCTCTAAAAGCATTGTGTTTGGTTTCATTGGGTGTCTAAACAAAATGTATTAAACACTAGAGACCATGAATCAGAAGTAAGGAAGTTGCATTTTTGAGAATTCACCTCTCCTGAATTATAGCTGAAATGACTGAACTACACAGGGCAGGAAACAACTCTTAAACAACTCTCAGCCTAGCACATTTTAAAAAAACAAAAACAAATATTTAACCCTTTTTATATTTGCTAGAGAAAGGAAACCCTCTCATGCTTTCACGTTGCCAGCATCACCTTGTGTAAGAGCACTGACTTATCAAAGGCTAATATTTTAGCCACACTGAATGCACTTTCGTTTCAGTTGGCTCATACAGTACCTGTAAATCGACGATGGCTGAAGGACTCGATTGCAGAAGGAGCCTGTAGCTTTTTCACAGACTTCTACCCCCACCTGGTAGCCTACGACTGTGGTCAGCTTGTAATTCCCATCATCAATGTCCATGCTCACAAGATCCCTGGCTATTCTACATGAGACACTCTTGAATTCTCCCGCAAAGTAAACTTGGGCAGTAGAGGAAGAGTGGAGGGATTTGATCTGATCGGTGTCTGTCACAGCTTGAAAAAGGACAGCATAAAAACTTCACATTAATCATATGACCAATCAATGCAGCAAGACCATAACCTATTACCGATGCTGCAGTTTGCAGATGTTATTTAAGAAAGGGCTCAAGCATCCCATACAGGGGAGTAAGGAACCATAAGGCGCCCCTTTCTCTCCCCTGGGTAGGCAACATGGGTTGTAATGTGTAGGAGAAGTAGCTGCCCTGCAGGTGTTATTTCCTCACCAGTGCAGATAGGCGAGGAGTGGATAGAGCATTGGCACAGGATGAGCTGACACAGAGGGGGACAGATTGCAAGGTGCCAACCTAGTCCTCGTTGTCTGTATTAATGAGGGAAGAAAGGATAGTGTGAAAATAGAACTGAACTTTGAAAATGATTTTCTCTCCCAAATTTACAGTGTATACATAACTCACGGGCCACAACCATGGTGCCTCAACTAAGCAACATCGTGACTAGCCAGGGGCCAGAGTAGGTATATGGATTGAGCAGTGTGGGTATCTATAGGGCATGGATTGGATAACATGGCTACTTGCAGGAAGAACTGGTTGGAAAACAGAAAAAACTTTAATGGAAATTCTCTTTGTGCTGGGGGCCAGTACCCCCCCACTCCGCCCAAGCCTGCTCCTGCCTCCCCCTGCAGAGGCCTGGGGCCACACACATCCCCGAAGGGCGGGAGGTGGGGGCTGCGTAGGGCACCAAAATGGCTAGGGCTGGCCCTGCAGGGTGGGCTCAAAAAATAACTGGGAACCACTGCTTTAGGGCCTCAGCACCATTAAGTGACTAGCATTGTCTACTGCATGATGCCACAAACTTACTACAAAATTATCACACTCTCTGGTGACCTTGGCACTGAATATTATAGAACAATATGCAAAAAGCCTCAGGACTAGCCTGGATTCCACTCATCAATTCAATACTGAAATCCAGCCAGGATTCCTACTCATAGTGACTTAAAGTCATTGCTATCTGAATGCAGTGGACTGTGTGGCATGACCTGCTGGTATCAGTTAAGTTGCTGCTAGACAGGTGGCTATGTCAAAAAGGCTATCGAACCATAGTTGTCCGCCTTTTTGACAGTCCCATTAAAGGGCAAGGATTGATGGGCATGGAGATCAATCTGCCCTATCTCACATAGAAATCGTCCTTCTGAGTCATGGTTGAGTCACATCAGTGAGGCATTGTGAGGAAGCTTGCACTGTTGTTGCTCATACTCTATCTGGTCTTCTGTGGATGGCTGGAGGACTTTGGCCTTTGAGGGTGTCCATCTGTCGTGGTTTATAACCAATAAAATAATGACAAGTTAAAAGAATCGACACATCAAAAGAGAAAATCAAGAATACGTCTTACCTGGCATAGCAACTTTATCACCAACAGCCGCTACTGCTGGTCTAATCGTAGTGGGTGTGAATTGAGAGGAAGGAATACACTTAGGAATATTAACAATGAAAGATGAACTCATTCTTGCTGCTAAAATCACGCTCGCGTTTGGAAAGAAATCTAGTGCTGGAAATGAAAAAAAGATAATGTTAGAGCAAATTTGTTTCCATGTAAATATATGATGACCAGGAAATTTAGCTAATGGATATTGATATATTTCTTAGAGCTGATGGGGAAATAACTTTTTTCCATCATGAAAAATCTCTAGGGACACAAAAAAAATTTTTTTTTTCATTTTCATTGACATTTTTCAGGTTTTTGGGTTTTTTCCAATGAAAGCCAAAATTATTCAACAAAATGGAAACGTTTTCACAAGAACTTTCTTTTCATTGAAAAGCCATTTTCCATTGTAAAAATGCTCTGATAGACAATTTTGGAACAGCTTCACTATTTATCTTGTGCTTTTTTCTTTTCTTTTCTTTTTTTTTAATGCTACAGACACTCAAGGAACAGATCAAATGTTTAGGAGAGAATCTTAGTTATTTTAATTAGGTGAATGTACCCATGAAACTTACGGTTTGCGGTTACTACTAAAGTAACCAAACTGGTTTCGAGTTCCTCGCTGGGTCTGTGGTTGGGGAGCACAGCAGAGGCCCCTCTTGAGTGCGGAATACCTTACCTTGTTCTGCTTTATATATCTATGTTGAAAAACATAAACAATATCTACTAACCTAAGAACTAAGCTTACTAGCCTCTGTGAAAAAGATGTGCTGCCACTCCCCTAAAGCCACACTCCCTGCTATTTAAAGGAATTAAAGAGTTACACGCTGTTTGATTTTAATAAATTGTTAATCTATTTTAAAATAATCTATTTTAAAAACATAGGGCCAGATTCTCTGTTACTCCAGTCCAGCCCTGAGCACAGGGCCCATTGGAGGCAGGGGAAGGTGTGGCTTGAAGCTATGTTTGCACTTCCCTAATTGTAGCCCCAACCCAAAAGCTTTGATGCTTCCACTTTCTAAATTCAATGCCCAGGTGAGAAGCCAACCTCTCTCCCACAGCTATTGAAAAAGAGGAGGATGCTGGGATTCCTACCAGGCTGCTGTCCCTTGAGTCTGTTTGGAAGTCCCATCTTTCCTATGAGCCATTAGGTAATATGTGACTGATAAATTCCTACCCAGGCCTCTGACTCTGGAAAGGAGAAGGAAAATTCCCTCTGACAGTTCACTCCCTCTGTTCTCAGAGCCTTCTGCTATTTTAACCCTTCCTGGCTGCTGTGGTGGAGGGAATCTGAAGCGTGGTAAAGCCTCCACTGCTCCACTCTTCCATTAGCTCTCTTAGCTGCTGAGAGGCTTGGGATTTTGGTTCTCTACCTCTCCCCCAGCCCTGCTTTTCAGTCTTCCTCCTACCAAATAGCCCCAGCACCTGCTACTACTGATGCCCACTACTTTCCCAAACAGCTGCAGATTGAACCTCATCTAATTATTGTCAGCTCCATTGTTGCCCACAAGATACTGAACAGCAGCTGTGAAATCTCAAATGGTCAGTTTTCACTCTGTTGCTGCTTTGGGGATCTTGAAGCAGCAGCAGAAGCACTGGGGCTGTCTGACTGCAGTCTTAGGAAGACAGCACTGCAATGGCTTACATTCTGTTCACAGCTGGAAGGTTTTCTGCATCACCATAAGGGCCAGAATCCTTAACATAAAATAAAAGAAAGGAAGCTTAGATTCTTCAGAAGCTGTTGGCAACCATCTGGGAAAATTTCTTACTTGCAGTGGATAAGTTAGTTTTTCAAGCTCTCTGTGAGGGTATTGTATGGAGTCAGTAGCAGATCAGTTTATAGTGAGAAGCATTTGTAGTTATAAACCATTAAGATTATAGCTAGGTTAAACATCAGCCTTTATACACTTAAAAACAACTCTTTATATTTTTAATAACATCTCTCCTCCTCATTAATGCCCCCAAACAAGTAAAAAATGCTTCTCGTTACCAAGGAAAACAAATATGGAGACATTTGGTAGATATGACGTACAAAACAAACAAAAAACACAGACCTTTTTATAAAAGTGAAGAACATCAATGTCGATGAGGGAGGCAAAGGCAGCTTTATACTACTTTTCCATGCCCACAATCCAGAGGTCAGCCATATGTTAAAGCAGCTTACAGGGCTGCTCTAACTTTCACAGCTAGAACAGTCTCCTAAGGACTGTTTCAATGGCAGAGAATTGATGCCCACTATGTAGATGGAAGAGATTTGACTATTTTGACCATAAGCCTTAGGCTTGGCTTCCCTTTAGAAGACTATAGCCCTATCTGTACTAGTAGAAAGCTAAACTGGTTCTGAAATGGGTTTCCAACTACTGTCAAGTCAGCGAGTCCACACTACTTGTCATGCCAGATGCTTGCTTAAGCACACATGTATCAAACAAAATTGCAATATGCAGATGCAGAATGTTCCATCTACTTTTATACCATGTGAATTTGAGGAACTCAGCTTGTAGCTTTGAGGGACACTATCAGATACTTGAGGCTATGTCTACATTACACTACAATAAATCACCCCCATGAGTGACATAAGTTACACCAACATAAGCACTCATCTGCACAGTGCTAAGTCGGTGTGGACAGCTTTTCCCACCAACATAGCTCCTGCCACTCACGGAGGTGGTTTTATTATGCCAACGGGAGAGCTCTGAGATGGGAGATGCATTGCAGCTGCACCACTGAGAACTTGACTTCAATGAGACTACTCATATGCTTAAAGTTAGACAAATGCTTAAGTACGTTGCTGAACTGGGGCCTAAAACTAATGTAACAGAGTGGAGAATCAGGTCCTTAATATTCTCTAATGCAGGGGTTCTCAACCCTTTTCTCTCTGAGGCTCCCAACAGCATGCTGTAAAAACTCCACGGCCCACCTGTGCCACAATAACTGGCTTTCTGCATATAAAAGCCAGGGCTGGCATTAGGGGGTAACAAGCAGGGCAATTGCCTGAGGTCCCACACCACCGGGGCCCCCGCAAAGCTAAGTTGCTCACGCTTCAGCTCTGGATGGTGGGGCTCAGGGCCCCGGACTTCATCCCCATGCAGTAGGGCTTCAGCTTTCTGCCCTAAGCCCCGGCAAATCTTATGCCAGCCATGCTTGACAGCCCCCCTGAAATCTTCTCGCAGCCCCCCAGGGGGCTTCAGACCCCTAGTTGAGAATGCTCGAATGTACTGTTAGTAATGACTGGGTTTTTTTTTACATGTGACTTTTAATCTGACAGTATTCCCCTTAGTCACATCTGAGATAAAGCCCTTGGGCTCTCCTGTGCTTGCTGGAAGAACAGGTATAGCATTTTAGTCAGCCTGGATACCAATGTAATGTGAGCCAGTTCATTGTGCTCTCTACAGGGCCTTTGGCCATTTGTCCTAATGCTAATTCTTTTTCCTTTTGCATTCTGATGTACTGATTTCAGTTGTATGCAGTGTAGCTGTAGCCCTGTGGATCCCTGGATATTAGGGAGACAAGGTGGGCGAGGTAATATATTTTATTGGACCATCTTCTGTTGGTGAGAGAGAGAGAAGCTGTCGAAGTACACAGAGCTATTCTTCAGGTCTGGGGAAAGGAACTCCCAGCGTCTGTTCCACCTTGCATTTTGCTATGACCCTGGGAGTCCCTTTCCCCAGACCTGAAGAAGAGCTCTGCGTAGCTCGACAGCGTCTCTCTCTCTGACCAACATAAGCTGGTCCAATAAAAGCGATTACCACATCCACCTGACTTTGCCTCTCTGATTTCAATTTTGTTTACTTTGTTATGCTGAAGACCCTGATCTTTCAGTCCTTAGGCAAAACTCCCATGGAATTTTTTCGTGCTTGAGGACTGCAGGGCTGGAGCCAAAGGCCCAGACTCAGGTCTGAATAGAAACCCAGAGCAACTTGATTGGCTTGAACGGCCTTACTTTGGGTTTACACTGGTATCACAGAGAGCAGAATCTGGTCCAAAATGTAAAAATAAATAGTGCCATTAATGAATTACTAACAGTAGATTGTTTTCTAATACCTCCTTTCATTCAGAAGGAATCAACAGAGTTTTAAAGAATGTACCTATCACTCATCAAAGACCTGATCCAACTCCTGTTATAATCAGTGGAAAGACTCTCATTGACTTCAGGCAGTATTGGGTTGGGCGCTAAGTGAACACATTATTATACGCATAATGACATATGCTGTGGGCTTCATTTTCAGAGGCGCTGAGCACCTGTACCTCCAATGACTGCTGAAAATCAACCTCTATATGAATACTGAATTAGGGGTGAAGAAAAGGGTCAAGAATAGGTGTGTTTGACCTTAAAAATGTTGCACTCCTATAAAGAATTATAGGATCTCTATCTGCACTAACTGTACTCTAATGATAACGAAAATGCTTATATAGATAAATGAAGTGACCTTACACATTTCTCCTATGCATGTGCACTATTTATCTTCCCTTGACTAAGACAGTACAGAACGTTACCAACAACTTTCCTGCCTTTAGTATTCTATCACCCTTTGGGAGCATTCTGATCAGTGTGACAGACACTGCTGAATTACAAGATGGTTACAATGTATAAGTTTGTTGCAGTATATCAGAGACATTTTCCTTTCTTCTTCTTACAAACTACACCAGGAGAAAGGAAATCATACAATCTGGTACTTTCCTAATACCATTTTTTATTTTGGCTTCAATTTAGATAGTTTCTTTTCACCTATCATTCATGTAGCATGGAATTTTAATTTTTTTCTTTGTTCAGTACACATATAAATATCAGATTTAAAGGACAAAATTCTTTTCTCAGTTACACCTGTGTAAATCTAGAGTAATTTGATTTATTATTAGCTTTATTAATATTACCTATTCTTATTATTTTATATAGTGCCATGTTCATGCATGGAGCTGTACATATCAGTAAATTTCTTAAGGAAAAGGTATAATTTCTTGCCCACACTATGACAGTGGAAGTTGAAGTCCATGGAGATACTTCAGACCTATGCTGGTGTAAATCATGGCAGAATTTGGCCTGAAATGGTTCAAAATTCTATATCAAATAGAATTATGTTTTACAATCAAGGATTCACGTGGGAAATATGTATATCTTCTAACAAAGACATTTATTTGCCTGTAAAACTCCTTATATGCATGGCTCTACATAAATAATAATACCAAAATCTGAAATAAAATTAAATATTGCTATATTATTTCCTGTTCATCTAAACCTGGGTTGCACTGTTACAGCATCAATTCGGCTGAGCGTTATGAAACATAAATACATTAATTCAAAGCATAAAACCCAATGTAGCTTACTACTACTGAAACAGAAATGTGGTACTTACAGATTTTGTCTAAACTGGACAGTTGAACAGTCCATCCTATTCCAAGGCAGCCAGCAAAGCAAACCAGCTGAATTAGCTTCATTGCTGTAATGTGAAGGGATTAATCCTACTTGGTGGACAACTGAGAAGTTTTTTGGTCTATAGATGTTCTGCCTTGGAAAAGTGGGAGGGATTTGCATTCATTAAACAGGTACATGGAAGGGGGATGGGAGAAAAGGAGGAGAGGAGACAAGGGAGAGGCATGTACTAGATAAAGCTGCAATTCTTGTCACACAGTGAGGCAACAACATGGGTGTAAAGGTAATGGGAACTTTAAGGACTTCATCCAGTAAAGGGCTTACAGTAGGAGCTTAAGTCCTTTCCTGGATCTGGGCCTAAATGCTCAAGAGAGCAGTGAGAGGACTTCTGCCCACTGGCGATGACCAGCCTGCTCAGAGAGCTTTGCATGAGAAATAATTTCTAAATGACATTCAGCTAACGGATCGATTTCATAGAGAAAATCACAACCCAATTTCATCTTTACATGAAATAGAGAAAAGATGCTTGTGTTAAAGATGATGCACACAGCTGATGTAAAACACATACTGATGAAATAATAACCTACCCAAAACTCTCAGTTTCTTTCCATAAGGCACCCACAGAGAAGAGGAAAGATAAGTGAAAGGTAAAAGAGAACCTATAGTCTCTAGGAGTCAGCATTCTAATAGCGGGGCCCTTTGGTTTAGTTAATTTCAGTCAATTTGAGAGGATGAGCTGTATCCTTTACTCCACTATACATACT